TGTGTGTGTGTGTGTGTGTGTGTGTGTGTGTGTGTGTGTGTGTATATATATATATATATATATATGTATGTATTTATGTGTTTGTACAAAATTTAGTTTAAAGGAATCACAGATACTGTTTATTGCAGACTTTGCTCATGGTATATGGATAAACAACCTATTTTAACATAATATTTGCAAAGGTCGTTTTATGTTCACACTAAAATAGAAAAGAAAATTTCTTCTAGGTTATATCGTGCTTGTGATCAGAGGACATCACTGAGTTCACTGTTGACTGGAGCATTACTAGAGGCCACAGTTGTACTTGGATCTCGCTCTGCTCTACCTATTGCTTTACTCCAGAGCCCAAACGGCCACTCTGTGCTGAAAGGTGAGTATCATGTTCTACTTAAAGATTATATAGACATATGTATTAATATTTTTAGAAATGTAATATTTTTGTAATTAACATAAAATTGGCTTGATAAGGTCAGCTCTACCTAGTGACCATTGATTTTATTTTTTTGTAGGGGTGGGGGGTAAACTTGCATATTGACAATATTGCAGTTGTTAGTTTTACTAGTTAAGCATTATAATGTAACGAAATTTGATAGTGTTCAGTGCCCCCCCCCCCAAAAAAAAAAAAAAAATCTTTAGCAGTGTTCCAGCTATAGCACACAAGAGAAGCATCATAACCAGCTGTTAAATCTCGAACAAAAAGAGGTGCACAGGTTGGAGAGAAAGTGAAGCACCAATCTTTGGGGTTCTGTTATTTTCTTGTGGACTCCTGGTCTACTCTGTGCTCTTTTCCCCACATCGTTCCTTTATTCACAGCAGGATCTAGCTTGGTTTGGGTTTGTAGTTGATCTTTGTGGTTGCCCTTTCCGTCTTTTCTTTCTCTAATTTTCCATTTAGATGTCTTTTCTCCCTCTTTATACACTCTTTCCTTTCCCTTACAATGTCCAATTGAGAAGCACATTCAAACAATATTTCAGAGTGATAAAAGGAGAAAAAAAATGCATTTGGGTTGTGTAGAGTTGACATGCACTTCAAATATGCTGCTATTCCTGCTTTGTATTTTTACAGAGTTGTTTTATTTAYTTCTACTGCAGAGCAACTGCTTCTGCTCATGAAAAGCTTTGAGAAGATAATTTGTATAGTATTTGCACAATTGTACAAAAATATTGAATTGCTGACTCTTCCCCTCTTCCTGTCACATTTTTGTGTCATCAAGACTTAACAATCCAGTCAGTCAGGTTATTACATAGTTGTTCAGCTGGTATCTGTGTGCCCACCTTCTCCACAATGATGTTACGTATGACTTAAAGTAAGCTGATCCTGACATAAATTTCCACTGGCACAGAACCAGGGGACAGACTGTCTCTGGCAAGATCAAGGAGACATGCACTTTGGTGCAAACACAAGCACACAGAATTATGAATTTCTGCATTTGTCTCTGTGACATGCTATATTATCAATCATGGTAATCCAAAAATTATACTTTTTGTCAAATTTGCTTTTTTTTTTAAACTTTCATAAGCACATGCCCAAAGAATGCATTTTTTTCAACGTAACATTGTGTTCTGTGCAGAGGTTTTGGCAGGAGTAGATATTCAAACACTGAGCATCATCAGCTTCCTGTTTAATTTTCTGTCTCTGCAGCTTGGATTAAAGCAGCACAGACACTAAACATTGTTCAGAAGCACATCTTTAATGAGCGGCCACATTGATCAGGGCTCTAGACAATAACTTTTTGAATTGGTTGCACCGGTGTGCCTAACTTGTTTTCTTAGGTGCACCAGCACAAAAGTTGGGTGCACCCAAATTTTCAACAGTTTTTGCAGTGACCATGCTGCACAGGATAAAATAATGAGCTGTCAATCTGTATTTAAAAAAATAGCCTTGAGTAAGACACAGACTTTATGTATGTGTGGAACTAAAAACTAAAAAAATGATACCAAACAATAAACCCAAACTAAAAATAACTYTCATTATCTGAGTTAGGTTTCAAACTCGGTCAGTGTTGATGCAGTTTTTACTTTCTTTCCTTTTTTGGAATTGTTCCTCTCTTCATTGTTTCAATGAAACCACCAGCTTCTAATCTGTAAGACCTGAAGACCAG